TGATGCCTGTGCATCTCCTATATAAGTCGCGTCGTCGCGCTTGTCATTCTCATTTAGTGAGGTTAAAGCCCATCGCCCAGCTGCTTGGAACGCGTTCTCCGGGCCGCCCTCGACTCCGTTTCGCCCCGTCGGCTTGCTCCTTGTCGCCTCCCGCCTCGCGATGGTGATTGCTGGCGAGCCGTGGCCAATGCCATCGCGCGTTGCCGCTATGTCAGCGGTGAGTGGAAGGTCCCCGCCTGCGTCTGCCTTGGGTGTTGCTGCGCTGAAGAGGAACACACACAATGAGGAAAGTGAGCAGGCCAACTGAGCTAAATACTAGGCTGGAGAGGGCTAGAGAAGCTAAGGACTAGCTCTTAGGGCCTCTCTCTCTCTCTCTCTCTCTCTCTCTCTCTCTCTCTCTCTCTCTCTCTCTCTCTCTCTCGCTCTCTCCCGCTCGGTTAGGAGAAGCAAATGAAGAGGAACACACACAATGAGGAAAGTGAGCAGGCCAACTGAGCTAAATACTAGGCTGGAGAGGGCTGGAGAGGCTAAGGACTAGCTCTTAGGGCCTCTCTCTCTCTCTCTCTCTCTCTCTCTCTCTCTCTCTCTCTCTCTCTCTCCCGCTCGGTTAGGAGAAGCAAATGAAGAGGAACACACACAATGAGGAAAGTGAGCAGGCCAACTGAGCTAAATACTAGGCTGGAGAGGGCTGGAGAGGCTCAGGACTAGCTCTTAGGGCCTCTTTCTCTTTCTCTCTCTCTCTCTCTCTCTCTCTCTCTCTCTCTCTCTCTCGCTCTCTCCCGCTCGGTTATGAGAAGCAAATGAAGAGGAACACACACAATGAGGAAAGTGAGCAGGCCAACTGAGCTAAAAATCAGTCCCCAAGGTGCATCTCCTGCCCTATGCCTCCTACAGGAGGGTTTTCTGCCGCCGCTGCCTCTCCCAGCTTAAGGAGGAGCCCCACGGACTGAGCCCGCTGAAGAGCCACCGACCATCTCTGACAGAACTAGTGTAGGAACTTGGCGGCATAGAATGATTTTGAATCAACGTTGAAGTGTCGCCGAGCCGCCGTGTCCGCTAAGAGTTTGAGGAAGGTGGGTATCTCCGCGCATGGGAAACCGTAGGTGTCTACGGCTAGCGGGAAAAAGCCAACTGTCTCTGGTCGGTTGGCGTAGTGCTTAATCTTTTTGTCAGCTTGCTCCTTGGCCGCCCACCCTCTGCCTTCTTGTGCCTCTGGATCCCTGGTGCTGATGGGATCCGTGACGGTGACGTTGCAGATATAGACCGCCCCACTGCTTCTTGTTGGTGTAACGGCCTAATAAACTCAAGCTATTAAGACTTTATCAAGCTTAAAACCTCTCCTCGGGGTCACCTCCAAGGGTCCTTGGGTGCCTGGTACAAGACCAGCCCCTATCCTCGGGTCCGAGTTTGTAGAGAGAGGGATCAAGAGGGACTTAGTCAAAACAGCAAGAGTACCTTGAACGTCGCGCAGCGTATCGTGCAGACCGTCGATCGGGTTAAGCTGAGAATTTCCTATATCTAAGCTCGCTCCAAGAGCTTTAAAATGAACCAAGTTGCCTCGCGAAAAGTTCTGCCATTACGAAGTTATGGCTCGGACAGCGTTTTCCTAGCATTGGAGTGCTAGCGTACTAGCGTTGACTCGGGTAGCATTCCGCCGTCGCACCGCGTAGAACCGAAATTCCAGCAAGGAAGGAATTCGCTTGAATCAATTTTACTATATTCAGGTACAAACAGAGAAGGAATAAATAGCTCTACCTAGCAAGGACCTTGGGAATCAACCTGGGAACAACCAGGGATGATCCCAAATAATTCCAAGCAGCAGAACCAACCTGGCTGGACAAAACAGCAGGTGGTAGGTTGGTAAACAACCTCTGGTTCTGTTTTTCCAACCTGGGAAAACAACAACCAGGTTCAGGTCCTAAAAACACAACCTGTTTTGTCTTTGCCCAACCAGCCAAATGCTGGTTCCGCTGGTTTCCCCTGGCCCTGTAGCATGCAGATACAGACAAACAACATCCAACCTTCACCTAAATTGTACCCCTAAAGTGCCTGCCCTGCTACACTATAGTCAACCAAACAAAACAGTACAATTTCGAGTTGGATAAAACTGAATCTGCACAATCAATTCAACCGAACCGCAAAGCTTCCATCTTGGGTTCCTTTGCGAGCTCGTCCTTTCTGCTTGTACTGTTCATAGCGCGTACAATGTTGTGCCGAAGCGCACAATGCGCGAGTACCTGCAAATGCTTCAAGCGAAAATTGCGAAAGCAAACAAACACACGAACATTCCATTCACACCCAAATGCATTCGCACACGCATACTCGTACAAACAGACGGCAGGATGTCGTGCAATGTGAATTTGCACCCAACACTTCTGTCCGTCATAGTGAAGTCGGCTGTCTGTTCCTCGACAGGGCAGTATGCGGCCGACTCTCTATGAACTATAAACCCGGCGTCTTGCGCCATGCTAACGCAGGCATCCCGCAGTTCGTTGTGGGTGTTGATGCGCTGTTTGCCTGTACGCAGCGGAGGAGGTGATTCGGGAGGCGGGGGTCAGTGATAGCCGTGTGGTCGGCACAGTCGCAGTTTTTGGGGGTTAAAAACGACAGCCCTAGTCGGAAACGTACGGTATTGGCGAAGTGTACTGGACCTATCCGCCGTGTCGGTTCGATGGGGATTGCAGTGAGCCAGTCGCCGGTGCCGTAGCCCGTCAGAGAGAACATCCGCTGCGTATGGCCTTTGAGCGGATTCGGCTGCATACGCCTTGTCGCCTGGACCTGCACGGCGTATCTGCTGCCGTGGACCTTAAGTCCGAGCACGTGTTGAAGCCTCACGTCCGACCGTTCGAGGCGCTCCTTCTCGAGGATTTGTCGTGCATCTAGGGGCAGGGCCGTCTCGCATTCTGTGAGCCATTCGCGTAAGGGCGTGCCGGTGTCCCGCGGCAGTAGCATGCGATTCTGCGCTTGTACCAAGGCGTTCCGTGGGTCTAGCGCGAGGGAGGAGAGGAGCAGCGCCGCCTGTGTGAAACTCGCCGAGAAACCGTATATCCCCTCTATCAGGGGGTCAGTGATGCCTATGCCCCCTAGCGATGGCGGCAGGGACGCTTGGTCCCAGACCCGCGCTTGCTCGGCCCTACACGTGGGGACGTGTATGTCGCACGATGTGAGCAGGGCGGTGAGGAGGTCCTTTCCCCACTGGCTCCATTTTTCGCGGGGGAGAAAATGCAAGGGCGTCGTCCTAGTGAGGTAAGCCACCCGTCTAGAGATACAGCGCGCGATGAGCAGTGCCGCTACTTGAGGGTCAGTTCGTTCGATAAGGGGTAGCGGTTTCGCCATCTCGTCGAGTTGACCCGCTAGATACTTAGCTGCTCCGCTATCCCGCTCCAGGAAACTACACAGGAGCCTCACGCCGTCCTTGGAAAAAGGCACTCCATGCGGGAGTTGAGCTTGCTCGACTGCACTTGATCGCCAGGCTGCGCACTTCTGCGGATTGTGCGTAAGGCCCAGTTGTGCCAGTTTGTTAGTGAAAGTGTTGAAAGCTGCTACAGTGTGGGCTGTGTCACCCAGAAAAGTGACGTCGTCCGCATACGCCAAGCAAAGCACGTCGGGATGTGCTACTGCAACTTCGCGGAGGGTGGTGTGTATCCCCGCTGCAAACAGAAGTGGGCCTAGGGGGTCACCCTGGCGAACGCCGCGTTCACTTGGCAGCGGTTCGGAGTTGAAGTTGGCGTCCAGGAGTAGTTGCGACGGGTTACCGTATGTAAGTTTCACTAGCGGCAGCAGTGGCGATAGGGCGGGATCCTGTAACGCGGTGGCGATGGCTTCTCGCGAAATGCTATTAAACGCGTTTGAGATATCTGCTTGTAGGACCAGGCTATCCAGGCGGGCGTCCAAGTACGCCCTTGCTGCGTGGATTACCGCTTCTGCACCACCTGGCACTGCCACCCCGAACTGTAGCGGTAGAAATAATTCGCGGGCCGCCTCTCCCATGGCCTGTAGGGCAGCCTTGGCTGCCAGCCTCGTCAGACATTCGCCGATTGCAATTGCCCTAGCCCCTCCCCCTGGCTTGGCAAGGGCTATGAGTCGTGACGCAGTCAGAAGGTTCGCGACCGAGCCTGGCAATTTTCCTCCCAGCATCGTGTTAACCAAGGCATGCAGATGGGTGCTGACCATTGCATTGGTAATTGCCGTGTCGCGTAGGTGCTCGAATATCATGCCTGACGGTCCGGCTCCCACCCCATTTTCGCATCTTCCCAGAATTTTGGCGAAGTCGGGGTAGGGGATTGACAACTTTGACCTTTGTGGCACGGGCCATGTCACCGCCTCGTGTTCAGCAGGTGGGTGCTTTTGGCGCAGCTCCTCCAATATTTCAGGGCTGGGAGTGCAAACTGGCGTTGACTCCAGGGCCAGCACGGCCCGACGCAGGCTGCCACGTTTCGCCAGGCCCTCCGCACGACTGATGACTCCTGTCGCGTCTGGCTGGTGTTTTAGTGGTGGCGGTGTGTTGACTGCGTCCAACGCGTCCCGGTACAACTGCTCCCATTCGCCACGTTGGAAAGCCCAAAGCCGGGCTTTGACACGTGGCCAGTTCGGTCGCTGCGGCGAGGTCTGGTGAAGTGTTAGACGCGGGAGAAACAGCAGCAGGCGCCAGGCCGTTTCTGACTCTGGGTTTCGCGATAGGTGCAGTAACGGTGTCAGGAGTGCTAGCGAAAACAGCTGGCACAGATTTGGCGGTAAACGCCACGACAGTGAAGGCTGACGACTGTTGCTAAGAGTTGCGGTGTCCCAATTCACGATGGCAGCGAACAGGTCTGTCCGCTTCGCTAATTCGTCTGGTGAAAAGTAGCGGGGAATTGGTGTTGAAGGGCGTGTCGCATTACCAGTAGCTATGGTTTGATTTCGCCCAGCGCGGCCCGGCCTCGCTGGTGGGCTCAAGGTTGGAATTGCAGCCGTCCGATCGACATCGGACGGAGCTTGAGCCATCTGTGGCACTTGCAAAGATGTCCGTCCTACCACCGCATCCCTTCTCCCCAGTCTCTCCCTCGCCCTGCCTTCCTCTTCCGTCTCTTCGTCCTCGCTCGGTGGTAGTACTTCCTCCCTATATGCAGTGTCGTTAAGCTCGTCGTCCTCATTAGTCGCTTCCAAGCCATTTAAAGCCGTTCGTGCCGCTGCCTGATACCTGTTCTCCGGCCCTCCGCCTGTCCCGCTTACTGCTTGTCTCCTAGTCCCGCAGCCTCCCCGCTCCTGCGATGGTGATTGCTGGTGCGCCTGAGCCGTCGCCAGAGCTCGTTGCCGCCTGGTCGGCTGCGGCTGCCAAGCCTCCGGCGGGGCCCGAAAGGGTGACCATAGCGACGAAGCCCCCTCTACCGCCGGCTCCGAAACCCTCGACAACAGCCTCTGAAAGGACTCCTCCCCACGCACCCGCGGATCCCCTTGCCGCGCAAGGGGCTGGCCTGTCTGCCCCTGCCGCTGTTCCGTCTGCTCCGCCTGCGGCCCTTGGCCCCCTGGCTCCCCTTGTCGAGCCGTCGGTGTCTGCCCGTGTTGGGGGTGTTGCTGATCCCCCTGCACCTGTCCTTGGCGCCCCTGTTGCACCGCCCGCTTCTGTCCCCGGCGTGCCTGCTCCGGCCTCTGCTTCGTCACTGAAGGCGGCGTCCGCCACCACTGGCGGACCGGCTCCGCTGATTGCGCCCTCAGCGGCGGGTCAGCCCGCACCTGCTGTGACGCCAATGGCCCCGGCAGGTCAGCCGTCACGCCCTCCGTCACCTGACCGTCGCTCATCGCGCCCCCATTCCCCCGCGCCCCATCAGGAGCGCAAGTTGTCTCGTCGCCGTCGTGAGTCCCTACGGCGTTACCAGCAACAGTCGCACTGGCCGGCTCACCCCGGAGGTCAGGGGGATTGGAGGGGTCCCCGTGCTCGTGGCGGGGGTGTGGGGTACCGCCCGCCCGTGACGATGGCGGATCTTCAGCGGGAAGTGTCGAGGGCGGTTCATGAGGAGAGGGCGGCGCAGAGCCAGAGCAGTTCGATGCGCGCCTCGCCTGCCCACGAGGCTCCTCGTCCGGCCGCGCTCCCCGCGAACCCGCAGCCTGTCGCTGCACCTCCCCCTCAGATCCATGCGCCGCCAGTTCCTTCTCCCGCTGTTTCGGCACCTGCTCCTGGCTCTCGTCTCCATCTGCCGCCGGTTCCGCCCGTTGCGGGAGTGGAGTTTGTGGCCGCGGGTGGTGGCGCGGCGGCGGCTTCGTATGCTCTCCATGTTGATGCTGAGGAGCCGCTCGCAGAGGCACTCCAGCCTTCGCAGACCCGTGTTCCCGAGGCGACACTCGGCCAGCTCCACCGCCTCGCGGAGAGTCTCGACGCGCTGCTGCTGATTCAGGTCCTTGCTCACTCCTCTCTCCCCGTGATCCCTCCTGAGACCTTCCGAGGCCGCCAGCGTGACACTTGCCTGGACGCACCAGCTTGCAGTGCTGCTGGCGCCCGTGCTGGCTGCGCCCGTGGAGGGTGGCGCTGCTGCTGCGGGATAGCTTGATGAGGCTGTCCGGGGCTTGAGGCGCGAAGGATCTGGAGCCGCGGCGATCGGCACAAGCACGCTTGTGGTCCGGGAGCTGTGGCGCTCCCTGACGGGCGTTCTTCACGCCCTTGGAGCTCACTGCATGTAGACGCGGGCTCCCTTTGCCCCATGCTTGATTTGCTTGGCTAGGCTACCGTAGCAAATGCCATGCTTGTACTACCTTCGATTATGAACCACTGTGTGTGTTGTCACTTGCCGTCCCCTCACGCGCGGCCGAAGGCCGCGCCGCCGAAGGCGGCCGGCGCGAGCGGAAAAATTCTGCACCCACCCAAACAATGAGATGAAGAGGCCCAGAGGGGCCTCTTATATAGCTCCCAAAGGGGAGGGCAGAGGGCTAAAGGGGAGAGGGCAGAGGCTAGAATCCTCTCTCTCTCTCTCTCTCTCTCTCTCTCTCTCTCTCTCTCTCTCTCTCTCTCTCTCTCTCTCTCTCGCTCTCTCGAACAAGCGGAAAAATTCTGCACCCACCCGAACAATGAGATGAAGAGGCCCAGAGGGGCCTCTTATATAGCTCCCAAAGGGGAGGGCAGAGGGCTAAAGGGGAGAGGGCAGAGGCTAGAATCCTCTCTCTCTCTCTCTCTCTCTCTCTCTCTCTCTCTCTCTCTCTCTCTCTCTCTCTTTCTCTCTCTCTTATGGTCCTTGTATTGAGTATAGGAAAGGTACAATCATGCAAAGTATGTTTTCTAGGACTAGGAATAGCAAACAAACAACCATTTAACTACACATAGTGCGTGTCTACAAATCCATGAGAGGTTCTACCACGGTACAGCAGTCCTCTAGGTGGAGCTCGGACTGCACCCCCCCCATAGGGGGATTCTCGGCCACAACTGCCTGGCAAGACTTGATGAGGTACCCTACGGACTGTGCTCTCTGGAGAGCCACGGACCAGTGCTGCCTGAAGAGGTGGAGGAACCGAGCTGCGTGGTAGGAGGTTGGTTGGGCGTTGAAGTAGCGCCTAGCAGCTCTATCCGCCAACAATTTCAGAAACTGTGGGACCTCTGCACAGGGGCAGCCATACGTCTCTCTCTCTCTCTCTCTCTCTCTCTCTCTCTCTCTCTCTCTTTCTCTCTCTCTCTCTCTCTCTCTCTCTCTCTCTCTCTCTCTCTCTCTCTCAAACGGTCCGTTATATTGATAATAGGGGCTGGTACAGGCATGCATATCTAATGGAGTATTCAGCTAGCACAAGGACAAGCAAGCATTGAGAGGGCGTTTGGCTAAGTTCCAGACTGGCGAGTGGGAGCAACTGTTTACCGACGCAAAGAATCTGGACGGTGTAGAAACACCACAGCGGCACGAACCGGATCCAACCGGGCTATGTGCCCGAGCGGAGAACTTGGTTTGCAAGGCGAACCTGAGCAAAGCGGTTGCGGCGTTACGAGCGACACCCCTCGCACCAACGACAGTCGCCACACTTGAGGCCCTACAGAACAAACACCCCCCGGCGACGGAGGCGTTACCCGAATGGGTAACGAGTGTGACCTGGTCCAACCTGGTGATCTCAACCGACACACTTCGCGAAGTGATTCGATGCCCTAACGGGGTTGGAGCTGGACCTTCAGGAATGTGTTTCGAACACCTACGTGAACCTGCGCTAGCTAGTGAGGAAGTACTGGGCCTCCTGCTCAAGGTCGTCAATCACCTCCTTAGCTCGACGGCGGTTGACAGCAATACCCATAGCAGCGACACGGCGCATAGGGCCAGTGCATTTCGCCAACGCGGTCAGATTTCACCTCAACTTGCCTTTTTCTACCCCCAAAAACTGTGACTGTGCAGACCACACAGACGGCCGCGAGGTGCTGAGAAGGAGCGACTAGAGCCAAAGGGCATTAGGTTGCAGCACGCCTTGGCACTCAAGGTCCAAGGGAGCAGATACGCGGTTCAAGTAAGAGAAACTAGGCGCATGCAACTGAATCCGCTTTCCGGGCACACACAGCGGATGTTCTCTCTCACTGGCTACAGCACGGGCGACTGGTTGACCGCCATTCCAATAGCAACTACACGTCGTGTTGGCCCTGTCCACTTCGCAAACGCGGTGCGCTTCAGGCTAGGCCTCCTTTTCTCAACACCCAAAAACTGTGACTTCACAGAGCATACCGCCATACCTGACCCGCGCCTTCCTAACCACCTGTTCAGATGCGGGACAGGCAAGCACCGCATCAACACTCATAACGATCTACGCGATGCTTGCATCAGCATGGCAGAGGACGCTGGGCTCATAGTACACAGAGAAACAGCGGATTACTGCCCGGTCGACGAGCAAACTGCCGATTTTACAACGAGGGACAGAAGCAGCGGCGCGGTGTACGTGTGCGACATCACTATTACGGACCCCATCAGTACTAGGGACCCGCAGGCGCTGAAAGGAAGAGGATGGGCGGCACGGGAGCAGGCTGACAAGAAGCTTAAGCACTATGCCAATCTGCCGGACACGGTGCGCTTTTTCCCTCTAGCGGTCGAGACGTACGGCTGCCCATGTGCAGAGGTGCCGGTTTTCCTGAAACTACTAGCAGACACAGCAGCTCGGCGACACTTCAATGCCGACTCAAAATCATTTCATGCTGCTAAGTTCTTGCATCGGTTTCGGCAAAGGTGGTCCGTAGCTCTGCAAAGAGCTCAATCCGTCGGTTACCTTATCAAGTCGTGTGAGGCCGCTGCAGCAGAAAACCCGCCAGTGGGTGGAATAGGGGCTGAATTTCGTCTGGGAGATTGTTTTGCGGTGATTGAGCCCTTGGTGGAGCTCTAAACCAGAGCTGCAAAGGTGCTAGCTAGTACCAGTTTGCTAAAAAGGATTGTCATAGCATTGCCAACTATCTCTAGTTTGTTGCATGTACCCTTCCTACATCAATACACGGACCATTAGAGAGAGAGAGAGAGAGAGAGAGAGAGAGAGAGAGAGAGAGAGAGAGAGAGAGAGAGAGAGAGACGTATGGGTGCCCGTGTGCCAAGGTTCCACAATTCCTGAAGCTCCTGGCGGAAACAGCTGCTAGGCGACACTTCAACGCCCAACCACACTCATTCCATGCAGCCCGGTTCCTCCATCTCTTCAGACAGCGGTGGTCCTGCGCTCTGCAAAGGGCGCAGTCGGTGGGTTACCTAATTAAGTCCAGTCAGGCAGCAGTAGCGGAAAACCCCCCTGTGGGTGGGGTGCAGGGCGAGTTTCACCTTGGGGACAGTTGTGCAGTACTAGAGCCTCTCATGGAGGTATAGATAGGCAATTATGAGTGGCTAGATACTCCCTTGTTTCTTTGTTTGCTTGTTCACATCTCTAGAATCCATATCCTGCATGCTTGTATCCCTTTGATTTATCAATACACGGTCAGTTAGTGAGAGGCAACCGTGGTGAGCCTCCCCTGTCTGTACTTTGTCTTGGCCGCCTGTGTCCCGAGCATGCGTAGGAACTTCTGGGTGTCCCTGGCCAGGGCCCCATAGGTCTCCACTGCCAGGCCAAGCACGCCAACAAACTCTGGCCGCCCCTCGTACATGCCCCTTTTACCCCTGGCCGCGTCCTCTGCTGCCCAGCCCGGCGGCTTCACTCCCCTCGTGTCTCGGCGCTGCAGCACTGGGTCAGTCACCGTGACGTCACTCACGTAGGTTTCCACTGACTCCTTGTCCTTGATGACCAGGTCCTCGCTTGGGGTTAACAATTTGCGAGAATGCCGTGGTCTCGTGGGCAGTCAGATAGTCAGCTTCGTTGGCCATATGCAGCGCCGCATACATCAGGCTGTTGTGTGTGTTTATCCTATCCTTCCCCTCCGCACATCTCAGCAGGTGGTTGGGGAGGCTCCTGTCACCTATCTTGGACCGCCGCTTTCCGCACGGGCAGTTGTCCGTCACTGCCAAGGTGAGGCCTAGCCGAAAGCCTAAAGCCATTGCGAAATGGCCTGGTGAGAACGTAAGGTCTGCCCGCGTGGGGATGGCATGGAGCCAGTCCCCCGCTCCCACTCCCTGCAGGCTGATCAGGCGGACAATGTGGCCGTTGTCTTCGCCTGGCTTGTCCACCCGCGTGTCCCCTACCAGTTCCGCTGCCCTGTCCATGTTGACTAGCCTGGAGAGGTGTTCTTGCAGTAGCCCCTTCCCCTCTCCACCCCTGTCCGCCGCCCGCAGCAGCTCCCTTGCCGCTTCTAGGAGTCTGTTCCGTAGGTCTGTGATTGATATCCCGTCCTCACCAGTGGCTCTGTCCCTGTATGGTGATACCAGTGCCGCCACGCGTTGCAGGGGGTGGCTGGGAGTTGCTGCTATGTGCTGCAGGAGAGTCCTCGCCGCCTGTAGTGAGGCCAGGTATGCTGCAGGTGCCTCTGAGAGTGGGTCTATGATCCCCAGACCCCCGAGCGCAATCGGCAGTGTCGCCTGCCTCCACACCAGGCTCTGTTCCAATTCTTTCCTCGGCGTGTGTAGGTGTGCCGCTTTCAGCGCTGTCCACAGGAGTCTCTCACTCCACTCTCTCCATTCTCTGCGAGGGAACACGTCCGCTGGTGTTGTCCGTAAAAGGTACGAGACCCTGCGCGAGATGCATCGCGATAGGAGTAGTAGTGCGTGTTGCGGGTGGAGTTTGCGGATGAGCCCCAACGGAGTCGCCGTTGCCTCGAGTGTCCCCCTGATGGTCCGCTGGCCGAATGCAGTAGTGCCGGTCGGACTCCCTAGCACCCGCACTCCGTCCACTGCCGTCGCCAGTCCGTCCAGGAGTTGGCATGTGAGTCCCGACGGACTCCAGGCGGAAGATTTGGCCAGGTTGCACCGTAGGCCGCAGGCTCCCAATTCGTCCCGTATCTTATTTAGCGCCCTTGTTGCCCTCGCCGGCTCGCCCTCGACTGATGTCGTCCGCGTATGCTATCACGGTTACCGTTGGATCTGCCTCCGCCGCCATTAGGAGCGCCGGTTGGATGGCAGCCACGTCTCCACCGCCATGCCGAAGCATCCCACCCACCCCGGCCTTCCCGTATACATGCCATGCTTTGTCCTTGCCGCCTCCTCCGCGACCCATCCCGGCGGCTTCACTGCTCGCTTGTCTCGACGTTGTAGCATTGGATCCATCATGGTCACATCCACCATCAAGGTTTCTCCTGACTCCTTGTCACGAATGATCATGTCCCCCCGTTTTTGGTTGGTTATGGGGCTGAAAATGGCCGATTCGTGCAGGGTAAGGAAATCCCCCTCCCTTGCCATGCGGAGAACTGAGTACATCAGTGCGTTATGTGTTGTTGTGCGGTCTCCCTCTTCCGCGCACCTCAGCAATTGGTTCGGGAGGCTTCTGTCCCCTATCTTCGCCCTCCTCCCCCGGCAAGGGCAGTTGTCCGCCACTGCCAGTATGAGTCCGAGGCGGAGGCCAATTGCTAGCGCGAACTGCCCCGGGGAGAAGGTAAGGTCCGCCCGCGTTGGTATGGCATGCAGCCAATCCCCCGCGCCTCCTCCTTGGAGGCTCAGTAGGCGTAGGAGATGGCCACTGTCCGCGCCCGGTTTGTCTGCCCGTGTAACGCCTAGCAGTTCCACCGCCCGCTCCGCATTGATGTGTTGTGACAGTATCAGCTTCAGGTGTCCCTTCCCATCATCTCGCTCTAAGTACGCCTGTGGTGCCGCTTGAGCTGATGCTGGCAGGCGAACCCACATGCCCCTTCGAATGTCTTCCCTGTTGGTCCTCTGTTCCCCTGACTCTGGTGACACGAGCCGTTCCGTACTAATCATGGGGTTGCCTGGCGCCAGGGGGAGCTGCTGCAGGAGTGTGTGGGCCGCCGTCAGAGATGCGAAGTACGCTGCTTGGGGTTCGGAGAGCGGGTCTATCAGGCCCATGCCCCCCAGGGCCACCGGTAGTGTCGCCTGGCGCCATAGGAGGGTCTGCTCCATCTCGTCCGCCGGCAGGTGGAGGTGTGTCGCTCTGAGGACAGTCTGGAGTAGTCGCTCGCTCCACTCGCGCCATTCCGCCCGCGAGATGAGGTCCGCTGGTGTCGTGTGGAGCAGGTACGACGCTCTCCTGGAGATGCAGCGGGAAAGCAGGAGCATTGCGTGCTGGGGGTGAAGTCCACTGATTAGGTCCAGGGGCGCGGAAATCTTCTCCAGCGCTGTCCGTACAAAGTTCCTCCCAAAGGCCGCCGATCTAATCGGGCTCCCTAGAACTTTGATGCCGTCCACTGCCGCCACGAGTCCAGCTGGTAGGTTGTTGAGCGCGCCCGCCGGGCTCCATGCCAAGGATTTTGCCAGGTTGCATCGTAGCAGGTGTCTAGTTCGTTGGTGATCAGCAGCATCGCTCGTCCCGCCGACTCAGGGTCTCCCACCAGAGTGATATCATCCGCGTATGCCATCACCATCACCGATGGGAATTCATCTGCGGCTTTAAGTAGCGCCGGCTGTATAGCTGCAGAAAATAGTGTCGGTCCCAACGGGTCCCCCTGTTGCACTCCCCTCGTGCTCTCAATGTGGTTTGAGGAAAACCCCTTGTCTAGAAGCAGGCGGGAGGGGCTTTCTTTTAGCGTGCGCACGAAGGGGACCATGGGGTGTAGTGTCGACCATCTGAGCGATGTGAAGAAGCTCTGGCGCTCTACCGAGTTGAAGGCATTCTCGATATCCAACTGCAGCGCGACTCGGTCGGGGTCATCCTTAAGTAGTGCTCGCGTCGAGTGAATAATGCACTCCGCTCCTCCTAAGACAGAGACTCCGAACTGCACTGGTAAGAAGTATTTCCGAATTTGTGGCGTAAGCTCCCGTAGTGCGATCTTGGCTGTTAGTCAAAGCAGTACTTCTCCTATAGCTATCGGCCGCACGCCTCCATCAGGCTTCTCTAGGGGGATCAGTCGGGATGGCAGTAAGAGTTCGCAAATACTCTCTGGTTGCTCGTTGCCAAGCAGATTGTTGACAACTTCTAGTAGGAGTGTGAGCACTTCCCCATTTGCTAGCGCTGGTTCGCGAAGATGCTCAAAACAGGTTCTGGAAGGGCCTGCGCCGATCCCATTCGGGCATTTCGCCAATACGTCGCGTAGCTTGTCGGCTGTTGTGGCGGGTCTTGACGCCTTGAACCCGGTTACCCAGCCGGGTATGGCAGTTGACGCCTCCGGGTGTTTTGCGCGAAGTGCCTCGAGTGTAGTCGTGGATGCTTCCGCGAGGGGGGTGGACTGTAATGCTGCAACTGCTTTGGTGAGATTTGCTTTTTGTACCAGTCCTTCAGCTCTCGCTCTTAGTTCTTCGGGGTCTGGCTGGTGTCTGGCCGGTTTGGGGTCTTCTGGTACGGTTTTGGCCTGCATGAACAGTAGCTCCAATTTTTCCGGTCGGAACTGTTGCAGTCTGCCCTCGATCTCCTGCCAGTGATTTGCGCAGTTGGGGTCAATGTCGGCGCGGAGTGTCAACCGAGGCAAAAAGAGGAGTGCCCTCCAAGCTCCTGGGCACGTAGGATTTTTCCTCAGTCGCTGGAGCGGGATGACGAGGCACGCCGCAAATGAATCCACCACTCCATGTGGCATTCTCCTTGCCAGGAAGGGTTGTTCACTGCTTCGCAGGCAGTCAACCTCCCATTCTGCCACCTGTCGCCAGATGTCCTCGACCCTAGCTATCACTTCGGGTGAGCGCATGTCTCTCACTTCCGCGCCAGCAGGTTGGCCTATTGGGGCCTCGTTTGGCGCATCCTTGTGCTGTTGCTCCTCTCCTGCCCTCCCATTTCTTCCCCTTCATGATCTCCCAGATCGGGCGTTCCCCTGGTGGTTACCCACCCCAGGCTCATCATCCAGTGAGACCTCTTCTGATTCTCCTTCCTCCGATGCCATATAAGCCTCCTCCTCCTCGTCGTTGTCAGCAGCAGCTGGCCTATCAGCGATCCCCTCCTCTGACACCACCTCTGGCCTCCCGTGCCTTTCCCGCCATGGACCGGATCTGACTCATTCCCACGCGTTGATCGTCACTCCCCATTGTCCCCGTCCCCGCGCCCCTGTGCGCCCTCGCGCTCGGCCTCGTGCCCTTCCTCGCGTCCTTCCCGCCGCACTTGGTGGTCGCAAAACTTCCTCCTCTGCTGGCAACTCGCCCGCTTCCTCCTCCTCCGCTCCCGCCGATGACGGGCAAGGCCGCGAAGGCCCCTCGCCGTGAGGTCGTGGTGGGTAGGTCTGGCACTCCCACCCCCGAAGGGGGCCAGGGAGGCCAGGTGTCAGCCCTGCTCCGAGCCGCCGCGGACTTGGTTGAAGCCGAATCGAGCGGCGGATCGGGGCGTGGTCGGCGTTCCTCCCTGGACTCCCGAAGCCCTGTGTATCACCCACCATCTGGTCGAACGCCGTACTACCTCCGCCCGCGGGGTCAGCTCTTCCGTCATCCATGGCGTCCCTGCAATCAGCCTTGGCGGCCGAGGCCATTTCCTCCTCCTCGGCAGGTTCCTCCGCCGCCGCCAGCGCCGACGGTGCCTCCTCCACCGTCAGCTCCTCCCCCGCCGACTCAGCCGCCGCAAGCGTTGGTTCTGCCTGCGCTCGCCTCCCTTCAGATACAGCCGACGCCAGTCCTTCCTCCCGCACCTCCTCCTCTTCCGCCGTCGGTTTTGCCGGCGCAGCCTCCACTCCCGACCGCTCCTCCTGTCCAGCAGCCTCAGCGTCAGCATCCCCTTGTTCCGCGTCCCCGTCCTGCCGCTGCTCGCTGGGGTGTGGTGAGTCTGATTCCTCCATCACCGGCGGAAGTGCCCCCATGCTTGACGCTTTCCCTCGTGTTGACCCAGGTTTCACCGCGGTTGACTTTCCTTGTGTTCTCCCTCTCTGTCCGTGGTGATGATCCACATGCCCGTGTCTGACTCCTCGTTGTGACTCTTGTCCAGGTGTCGTCTCAGCCAAACGAGCGCCACCGTGGCTGGGACGAGTTTGAGACGCCCGAGACTGCCCAAGATCCGCAGTTGGAGTGGTGGAACATGGGCTGGCCGAATTATCCCCGCGAGCCTGGGTGGGGGCGCGGGTGGAATGAACCCCTGGGCGAAGCCGAGTTTCTTGAGTGCGGGGAGCGCCTGTCTCAGATCGGGTGCTTCGTGACGCGCCTTGCAACGGTACTTGAGAAGTATCACCTTGCTGTGCAGAGTCAGATGCTCGTCGCCCGTGACCCTCAGCTTGATGAAGTTCAGCAGGGGCTTATCCGAGGGGCATTGTCGGAGGCGATGTGGGAGCTGCTCCACCTGCCGCTAGAGCCAGAAGATGCTGAGCTTGATGATGGCCCTAGCGCCTTGGCTTTCCGCAGGGTAGCCACGGCGGCTGAAGAGTCGCCGCTGGATCCCGTCCCTACGATCGCGTCTTTGCTCCAGTGGGTTGGAAGTGGGTGAGGCTGATGTAGTGGCCTCTCCCACTTTTGTCGCCGGCAGTTGCTTTTTCCTCCCCATTCTGGGAACTTACCTGTGCCGTATCTCCCGGTCGCCTAGTGGGCCATGTTGTACGAATGCCTTAGTATGCACGATGTTGCTTTCTGGTTCCTGCTTTTTCCTTGTCACCCCTCACGCGAGCGGCCGGTTTCTGGCGAGTGAACCCAACTCACCAGTGGATAATGAGCTCAAAGGATTAGATCCAGGTGCTTTATACTACGAAAACTAGGCTAGAAACGGCTGGTCTCTGGCCTGCTCCCTTGCCGCCCAGCCCCTGCCCTTCAGTGTCTCTGGGTCTCGAGTACTATTGGGGTCTGTAATTGTGACGTCGCACACGTAGACAACACCGCTGCTTCTATCTGTCATCGTAAAAACTGCGGTCTGTTCCTCAATGGGGCAGTAAGCCGTTGTCTCGCAGTGAACGATGAACCCCGTGTCCTGGGCTATGCTAGTACAAGCGTCCCGCAGCTCGTTGTGGGTGTTGATGCGGTGCTTTCCCGTGCCGCAGCGAAGAAGGTGGTTAGGGAGGCGGGGGTCCGTGATAGCCGTATGATCTGAGCAGTCGCAGTTTTTCAGCGTGGAGAAAGGGAGGGCCAGCCGGAAGCGCACAGCATTGGAAAAGTGAATGGGCCCTATCCTCCTATTTGCCGCAATGGGGATAGCCGTCAGCCAATCCCCGGTCCCGTAACCTATCAGTGAGTACATCCGCTGCGTGTGGCCATACAAAGGGTTCGGTGTCATCTGCCGTGTCTCCTGAACCTGCACGGCATATCTGCTCCCGTGTATCTATAATGCCGGAGCGTGTTGGAGTCTAATGTCTGACCGCTCCAGCCGCTCTTTCTCCAAGATTTCCCGTGCGTCAAGGGGTAATGCTGCTTCGCACTCAGTAAGCCACGCGTGGAGACGCATGGTGATGTCAGCAGGCAGCAACATGTGGTCCTGGGCCTGCGTCAGCGCGCCACGAGGGGCACACTCTAGTGATGTCAGAAAAAGCGCGGCCTGCGTGAAGCTTGCCGTGTATCCGTACACTCCTTCGATTAAGGGGTCTGTAATGCCTATTCCCCCCAGCGACGGCGGCAGTGAAGCCTGCGCCCAAACGCGAGCTTGCTCAGAGCGGCAGGTTGGAACGCAGATGCCGCATGCAGTCAGAAGCGTCGAAAGCAAGTCCATCCCCCACTGACTCCAGGTATCGCGAGGCAGTAGGTGGAGCGGTGTTGTCCTGGTGAGGTATGCCATCCGTCTCGAGATACAGCGGGTGAGCAGCAGTGAAGCGACCTGGGGGTCGGCTTTCTCCAGGACAGCTAGCGGCTTTGCCATTTCCTGCAGCTGACCCGACAGGAACTGCACCGCCCCGCGGTCTGGGCCCACAAAACTTCCCAGTAGCCGCACGCCGTCCTGGGAAAAAGGCACTCCTGGCGGAAGCTGATCTTTCACTGCTGCGGCTCTGCTCCACGCTGCGCATTTTCGTGGCTTGTGTGTCAGCCCCAATTGTGCCCAACTGGCGGTGAAATGGTTGAATGCGGCTACAGTGTCGGCCACATTTCCAAGAAATGTGACATCGTTCGCATAGGCCAGACAAAGCACGTCGGGGTGCGTGTCTGCAGTGTCGCGAAGTGTGGCATGTATCCTTGCCGCGAACAGTAACGGGCCGAGTGGGTCTCCCTGGCGGACTCCGCGTTCACTTCGCAGAGGTTCGGAGTTGAAATTGACATCCAGGAGCAGCTGCGACGGGTTACCGTAAGTTAATTTCACGAACGGCAGCAGTGGCGAGAGGGCGGGGGCTTGTAATGCGGTGGCGATGGCTTTTTCGCGAGATGCTGTTGAACGCGTTCGAAATGTCTGCTTGCAGGGCCAGGCTGGAGGGGCGTGCGTCCAGGAAGGCTCTGGCCGCGTGGATTACTGTCTTGGCTCCACCTGGCACTGCCACGCCGTACTGTAGTGGCAGGAAGAATTCGCGGGCGGCTTCTCCCATTGCTGACAGGGCCGCCTTGGCTGCCAGCCTCGTCAAGCATTCGCCGATCGCGATTGGCCTAGCACCTCCCCCAGGTTTGGCCAAGGCAATGAGGCGTGACGTAGTTAGAAGGTTTGCCACCGAGTCTGGCAAATTCCCTCCCAGAATGGTGTTGATCAAGGCGTGCAGATGGGTGCGGACCAGTGCATTGGTGATCGCCGCGTCGCGCAGATGTTCAAATGTCATCCCCGACGGCCCGGCCCCTATTCCATTTTCGCATCTGCCCAACATTTTGGCGAAGTCTGCGAGGGGGATTGAAAGTGTTGACCCCCGTGGCGTGGGCCATGCCACCTCCTCGTGTTCAGCGGGTGGGTGCTTCAGGCGCAGTTCCTCTAGGATTTCGGGGCTGGGAGAGCAGACGGGCGTTGACTCCAGGGCAAGCACGGCCCATCGCAGGCTGCCACGTTTTGCCAGACCCTCAGCTCGGTTGAGCACACCAGTCGCGTCGGGCTGGTGTCGTGGCGGTGGTGGCGTGTTGAGTGCGTCCACCGCGTCCAGATACAGCTGCCCGTATTCGCCACGCTGGAAGGCTTGGAGCCGAGCCTTGACCTTCGGCCAATTCGGTTACTGTGGCGAGGTTTGGCGAAGTGTTAAGCGCGGGAGAAACAACAGCAGGCGCCATCCTGTTTCAGACTCGGGGAAAAAGGAACCATGACGACGAAGCCCCCTCTGCCGTCGGCTCCGAAGCCCTTGACAACAATCTCTGAAAAGCTTCCTCCCCCCGGACCCGCGGAACCGTCTGACGCGGGGGAATCAGGCCTATCGGCCCAGGTCCTTGCTTAGTCTGCCCCGACCGTTGCTCCCGTTCCCTTGGCTCCCTCGGCTCCTCACGAGGATTCGCTAGCGACTGGCCTTGGGCGGGCTGCTGCTGTCTCACCCGTTCCTGCCTCTGGCGTGCCCGTTGCGCCGCGTGCTGCTGTCCCTGGCGCGCATGCTCCAGCCTCTGCCTTGTCCCCGAAGGCGGCATCCACCACCACTGGCGGCCCGTCCCCGTCGGTTGCGCCCTTGGCGCCCGCTGTGATGCCGGTTGCCCCGGCGGGTCAGCCGTCGCGCCCCCCCTCGCCTGACCGCCGCTCGTCTCGCCCACATTCTCTTGCGCTCCACCAGGAGCGGGCGTCGTCACGGCGTGATTCACTGGGGCGCTACCACCAGCAGCCTCACTGGCCTGCTCACTCCGGTGGCCATGGGGGCTGGAGGGGTCCCTGTGGGCGTGGTGGCGGTGGGGCATACCGCCCGCCCGTGATAATGGCGGATCTTCAGCGGGAGGTGTCGAGGGCCGTGCGCGAGGAGAGGGCGGCGCAGAGCCAGAGCAATTTACTGCGGGCCGCGCCGGCGCATGTGGCTCCTCGTCAGGCTGTGCTTCCCGTGAACCTTCCGTTGGCTTCTGCACTTCCTCCTCCTGTCCTTGCCCCATCGGCTCCTGCTCCTGCTGCCTCAGCTGCTGCTCCTGGTTCTCGTCTTCGCCTGCCGCCCGTTCCGTCGGTGGCGGGGGTGGAGTTCGTTGCCGCTGGTGGCGGAGCGGCGGGGGGGCAGCACACTCCTTATCTTGCTGCTGACGAGCCGCTTCCATTCTTGGCGGTGGCACTTCAGCCCCCGCAGACCCGTGTTCCTGAGGCGACGCTTGGCCAGCTACACCGTCTTGCGGAGAGCCTTCACGCGCTGCTGTTGATTCAGGTGCTGGCTCACTCGTCCCTCCCTGCGATCCCTGCTGACGCGTTTCATGACCGGCCGCGCGAGACTTGCCTGGACGCGGCGGACCAGCTCGCACAGCTGCTGGCGCCCGCGTTGGCTGCGCCTGCAGAGGGTGGCGCTGCGGCTGTGGGACAGCTTGACGAGGCTGTCCGGGGCTTGAGGCGACACTTGCACGTAGGATCTGGAGCCGCGGCGATCGGCGCAAGTACGCTGATGGTCCGTGAGCTGTGGCAGACTTTGACGGGCATTCTCCATGGCCTTGGAGCTCACCGGATGTAGATCCGGGCTCCGCTTGCCCCGTTTGTCAAGTTACAAAACTAGAAGTTTTGACTAAGGAAAGTGAAAACAAGCAAGATATAGCAAGCATAACCCTAACCCTAGGAAAACATAAAGTACACCTAGACTAACACAAATAAGCTATAACAAATATACCTTGACACACCCCCATAGTCTTGGTGATGGTAGTCCTGTGGAAAGCAACACACAGCAAGGGTCACAGGACCAGTTTGCAAAAAAAAAAAAAAAAAAAACAACAAATATCGGGGTGGATCTCAAGATCACCACACAGTCCGAGAACAAGCGAGGGGCCACAAGGCCAGTCCACATGCAAGGATATAGCAAATATAGAAGATGCAAGAGTACACGACAAGCATCTCTACAGAAGCACAGGGCCACAAGGCCAGTCTAGATGCATATATATATATAGCAAATATAAAGCAAAGCAAATCATCTCTAAACAAAGTACAAAGCAAAGCAAAGTACAAAGCAAAGCATCTCTAAACAAGTAAGTGAGGGCCTGTAGACACAAGGCCAAGCTGGGTGCAGAAACGCTGGTGGTCACAAGGCGGCAACGCCTTGGTGGAGATATCTGCAGTGTTGGCCTCAGAGACCACACGTACCACGCGTGCCTGGCCACGCTGCTGCAACTCACGCAGAAAGAAGTAACGAAGCTGGATGTGCTTCGCCTTCCCAACCAGTCGAGGCTCCTCACACAACAGGACAGCAGACCTGTTGCCGGCGAACAAGACTGGGGGAGAGCGAGGCCACTCACCAAGGTCGGTGAGAAGGAAAGACAGCCAGCGAAGCTCCTGAGCGGCCATGGCCGCAGCGTACACCTCTGCCTCACAGCTGGAACCGGCGACAGACGACGCCCGAGTCGACCGCCACGAAACAGCACCTGCTCCGAGGCTAAAGGAGTACCCCTGTGTAGACCGGTGCGTCTCCGCGTCGTCGGCCCACGACGAGTCTGAGTAACCTGTGAGTGTAACTGGCTGCTTCCCTCCAAGGACAAGTCCCATGCCTGATGTACTCGCCACATACTTCGCCACCCTCTTAGCCGCGTACCAGTGGAAGGTCGGTGTCTCCCAGGCGCAACAAAATGCGCAAGGACGCTAAGAGGGTAAGCTAGGTCTGGGCGAGTGCAGGTCATCAGGTACATGAGACAACCCACCAGCTCAGGATATGGACCGCTGGACTCAAATGGCTCGTCCGAAGGTGGAGCCGTGAGCCCATGATCCACACCAAGAGGGGTGAGCTGTACCTTGGAGAACGGGAAGCGAAACCGCATGAGGATCTGCTCGACCATATGCGACTGAGTCAGCGTAATGGTGCGAGCTGCCCTGTCCCTGCTGATCAGCAGGCCAAGGTAGTGCTGCAGCTCACCAAGGTCAGTGCAAGTGTGTCTCCTCTGCAGTTCCTCCTTCACGGAGGCCAGCGCGCGTCGGTCGGGAGTGGCGAATACCAGGTCGTCGACGTAGACCAGGACAAAGAACGGGGTCGAGCTACGGCGAACGAACAGTGACGGGTCAGCAGACGACGAAAAGAAGTCAAGAGCTGCAAGGGTCGAGCGAAGTGTGTCGTGCCACTCACGTAGAGCCTGACGCAGGCCGTAGACTGGTCGACGCAGCTGCCACTGGGTCCCAGGTGGGAAAGAGCCAGTGAAGCCCGGCGGGCGACGCAGCCAGATCTGCTCGTGCAGGCTCCCCTGAAGGAACGGGTGGTGCGCGGGGTACGGGGCACTACGAGACACGGATTGACGGGGCGCTACGGGCTAAGGCGCTTCGGGCTAGGGCGCTTGGGGCTAGGGCACGTTACGGGGCGGTGGGCCCATGGGATCTTTTTATCGCTCTATACCATGTCAAGTTACAAAACTAGAAGTGTTGACTAAGGAAAGTGAAAACAAGCAAGATATAGCAAGCATAACCCTAACCCTAGGAAAACATTAAGTACACCTCGACTAACACAAATGAGCTATAAACAAATATAGCTTGACACCGTTGTGGCCATTGCTGCTTAGGATGGTGTTGATGCTGCCATTGCTTGTATGCCGTTGCCTATAGTTACTCGGGTGTGTGTTCCCTTGCCGTCCCCTCACGCGCGGCCGAAGGCCGCGCTGTCGAGCGTCGGCCGCCTTCGGCGGCCGGCGCGAGGCGCTCGCTTAGGAGAATAAAAAACCGAACAATGAGGAGAGTGAGTAGCAGACCTCTATACTAGGCTGGAGAGGGCTGGGGAGGCTAAGGACTAGCTACTAGGGCCTCTCTCTCAAGCAGTCCTTCATTGATGGGTTTTTAAGGATACAAGCATGGTAAGGGCAGGTGCTAGATGGTTCTAGGCATGCAAGGGGGTCTACTACCGGCCTCTCTCTCTCTCTCTCTCGCTCTCTCCCGCCCACTTAGGAGAATCAAAAACCGAACAATGAGTTGGGGTTTCTGGTGAGTTGGGTTCACTCAAAAACCAAGAACTGAATAATGAGGCTCCAGGACTAGATCCTATGGCCTTAATGGCTGGAGAGGGCTGGAGAGGCTAAGGACGTGGCCTTTCTCTCTCTCTGTCTCTGTCTCTTTCTCTCTCTCTCTCTCTGTCTCTCTCTCTCTCTCTCTCTTTCTCTCTCTCTCTCTCTCTCTCTCTCTCTCTCTCTCTCTCTCTCTCTCTCCCTCTCTCTCTCGCGCGGCCGGTTTCTGGTGAACCCAACTCACCAGTGAATAATGAGCTCAAAGGACTAGATCCAGGTGCTTTATTCTACGAAACTAGGCTAGAAACGGCTAAGGACTGGATCCTTGGCTAGAGAGGCCTAAAAACGGCGAAGGACTGGGACTAGGCTATCTTTCTCTCATACGCCCAGTCCCCACCATATCCGCGACCTCCCCACCAGCCACCCCGGCCACCGCGGGACGCAGCCCAATTCGCCTGAGAACCTCGGCGCCGACGAGAGTCATGGCGTCGCCTCGACCGCTCCCGCTCGTCACGAGGCGCAGGGGAGTGAGGCCGGTGCTGCCGGCTGCCTGGAGACGGTGGGCGCTGAGCTGGCAGAGCAGCAACAAGCGGTGCGGGAGCAGGAACCGCCTGGAAAGACGAGGGCGGCACTGATGTCGCCGTAGTCGGAGGGGCGGGAGCGACCGAGTCAGCTACTGGGCCTAGGGCGTCAGTGGTGTCGGAAACCACCGGCGGCGGCGCCTCGGCATCAGCAACAAGCACCTACTCGACGCCAACAGGCGGAGCGACAAGGACGGCAGGCGGCGGACCAGCGACAGTCGCAGCAAGGGCAAGCGTTGGCAGGACAGCGGGAAGAATCAGGGGATCTGCAGCTGCAGCCGGAGCAGCAAAAGACGAGGATTGAACGTCCTCGCGAGACATCACAGACACCACAACAGGAACCGCGGGTGCGGGGGAGTGAGGCATTCTAGAGGTTACTGTCATGGGCTTCGGAGCCAGCGGCACAGGGGGCTTCGTCGGCATGGTTTTGCCGGCGCAGCCTCCACTCCCGACCGCTCCTCCTGTCCAGCAGCCTCAGCGTCAGCATCCCCTTGTTCCGCGTCCCCGTCCTGCCGCTGCTGGCTGGGGTGTGGTGAGTCTGATTCCTCCATCACCGGCGGAAGTGCCCCCATGCTTGACGCTTTCCCTCGTGTTGACCCAGGTTTCACTGCGGTTGACTTTCCTTGTGTGCTCCCTCTCTGTCCGTGGTGATGATCCACATGCCCGTGTCTGACTCCTCGTTGTGACTCTTGTCCAGGTGTCGTCTCAGCCAAACGAGCGCCACCGTGGCTGGGACGAGTTTGAGACGCCCGAGACTGCCCAAGATCCGCAGTTGGAGTGGTGGAACATGGGCTGGCCGAATTATCCCCGCGAGCCTGGGTGGGGGCGCGGGTGGAATGAACCCCTGGGCGAAGCCGAGTATCTTGAGTGCGGGGAGCGCCTGTCTCAGATCGGGTGCTTCGTGACGCGCCTTGCAACGGTACTTGAGAAGTATCACCTTGCTGTGCAGAGTCAGATGCTCGTCGCCCGTTACCCTCAGCTTGATGAAGTTCAGCAGGGGCTTATCCGAGGGGCATTGTCGGAGGCGATGTGGGAGCTGCTCCACCTGCCGCTAGAGCCAGAAGATGCTGAGCTTGATGATGGCCCTAGCGCCTTGGTTTTCCGCAGGGTAGCCACGGCGGCTGAAGAGTCGCCGCTGGATCCCGTCCCTACGATCGCGTCTTTGCTCCAGTGGGTTGGAAGTGGGTGAGGCTGATGTAGTGGCCTCTCCCACTTTTGTCGCCGGCAGTTGCTTTTTCCTCCCCATTCTGGGAACTTACCTGTGCCGTATCTCCCGGTCGCCTAGTGGGCCATGTTGTACGAATGCCTTAGTATGCACGATGTTGCTTTCTGGTTCCTGCTTTTTCCTTGTCACCCCTCACGCGAGCGGCCGGTTTCTGGCGAGTGAACCCAACTCACCAGTGGATAATGAGCTCAAAGGATTAGATCCAGGTGCTTTATACTACGAAAACTAGGCTAGAAACGGCTGGTCTCTGGCCTGCTCCCTTGCCGCCCAGCCCCTGCCCTTCAGTGTCTCCAGGTCTCGAGTACTATTGGGGTCTGTAATTGTGACGTCGCACACGTAGACAACACCGCTGCTTCTAGCTGTCATCGTAAAAATGGCGGTCTGTTCCTCAATGGGGCAGTAAGCCGTTGTCTCGCAGTGAACGATGAACCCCGTGTCCTGGGCTATGCTAGTACAAGCGTCCCGCAGCTCTTTGTGGGTGTTGATACGGTGCTTTCCCGTGCCGCAGCGAAGAAGGTGGTTAGGGAGGCGGGGGTCCGTGATAGCCGTATGATCTGAGCAGTCGCAGTTTTTCAGCGTGGAGAAAGGGAGGGCCAGCCGGAAGCGCACAGCATTGGAAAAGTGAATGGGCCCTATCCTCCTATTTGCCGCAATGGGGATAGCCGTCAGCCAATCCCCGGTCCCGTAACCTATCAGTGAGTACATCCGCTGCGTGTGGCCATACAAAGGGTTCGGTGTCATCTGCCGTGTCTCCTGAACTTGCACGGCATATCTGCTCCCGTGTATCTATAATGCCGGAGCGTGTTGGAGTCTAATGTCTGACCGCTCCAGCCGCTCTTTCTCCAAGATTTCCCGTGCGTCAAGGGGTAATGCTGCTTCGCACTCAGTAAGCCACGCGTGGAGACGCATGGTGATGTCAGCAGGCAGCAACATGTGGTCCTGGGCCTGCGTCAGCGCGCCACGAGGGGCACACTCTAGTGATGTCAGAAAAAGCGCGGCCTGCGTGAAGCTTGCCGTGTATCCGTACACTCCTTCGATTAAGGGGTCTGTAATGCCTATTCCCCCCAGCGACGGCGGCAGTGAAGCCTGCGCCCAAACGCGAGCTTGCTCAGAGCGGCAGGTTGGAACGCAGATGCCGCATGCAGTCAGAAGCGTCGAAAGCAAGTCCATCCCCCACTGACTCCAGGTATCGCGAGGCAGTAGGTGGAGCGGTGTTGTCCTGGTGAGGTATGCCATCCGTCTCGAGATACAGCGGGTGAGCAGCAGTGAAGCGACCTGGGGGTCGGCTTTCTCCAGGAGAGCTAGCGGCTTTGCCATTTCCTGCAGCTGACCCGACAGGAACTGCACCGCCCCGCGGTCTGGGCCCACAAAACTTCCCAGTAGCCGCACGCCGTCCTGGGAAAAAGGCACTCCTGGCGGAAGCTGATCTTTCACTGCTGCGGCTCTGCTCCACGCTGCGCATTTTCGTGGCTTGTGTGTCAGCCCCAATTGTGCCCAACTGGCGGTGAAATGGTTGAATGCGGCTACAGTGTCGGCCACATTTCCAAGAAATGTGACATCGTTCGCATAGGCCAGACAAAGCACGTCGGGGTGCGTGTCTGCAGTGTCGCGAAGTGTGGCATGTATCCTTGCCGCGAACAGTAACGGGCCGAGTGGGTCTCCCTGGCGGACTCCGCGTTCACTTCGCAGAGGTTCGGAGTTGAAATTGACATCCAGGAGCAGCTGCGACGGGTTACCGTAAGTTAATTTCACGAACGGCAGCAGTGGCGAGAGGGCGGGGGCTTGTAATGCGGTGGCGATGGCTTTTTCGCGAGATGCTGTTGAACGCGTTCGAAATGTCTGCTTGCAGGGCCAGGCTGGAGGGGCGTGCGTCCAGGAAGGCTCTGGCCGCGTGGATTACTGTCTTGGCTCCACCTGGCACTGCCACGCCGTACTGTAGTGGCAGGAAGAATTCGCGGGCGGCTTCTCCCATTGCTGACAGGGCCGCCTTGGCTGCCAGCCTCGTCAAGCATTCGCCGATCGCGATTGGCCTAGCACCTCCCCCAGGTTTGGCCAAGGCAATGAGGCGTGACGTAGTTAGAAGGTTTGCCACCGAGTCTGGCAAATTCCCTCCCAGAATGGTGTTGATCAAGGCGTGCAGATGGGTGCGGACCAGTGCATTGGTGATCGCCGCGTCGCGCAGATGTTCAAATGTCATCCCCGACGGCCCGGCCCCTATTCCATTTTCGCATCTGCCCAACATTTTGGCGAAGTCTGCGAGGGGGATTGAAAGTGTTGACCCCCGTGGCGTGGGCCACGCCACCTCCTCGTGTTCAGCGGGTGGGTGCTTCAGGCGCAGTTCCTCTAGGATTTCGGGGCTGGGAGAGCAGACGGGCGTTGACTCCAGGGCAAGCACGGCCCATCGCAGGCTGCCACGTTTTGCCAGACCCTCAGCTCGGTTGAGCACACCAGTCGCGTCGGGCTGGTGTCGTGGCGGTGGTGGCGTGTTGAGTGCGTCCACCGCGTCCAGATACAGCTGCCCGCATTCGCCACGCTGGAAGGCTTGGAGCCGAGCCTTGACCTTCGGCCAATTCGGTTACTGTGGCGAGGTTTGGCGAAGTGTGAAGCGCGGGAGAAACAACAGCAGGCGCCATCCTGTTTCAGACTCGGGGAAAAAGGAACCATGACGACGAAGCCCCCTGTGCCGTCGGCTCCGAAGCCCTTGACAACAATCTCTGAAAAGCTTCCTCCCCCCGGACCCGCGGAACCGTCTGACGCGGGGGAATCAGGCCTATCGGCCCAGGTCCTTGCTTAGTCTGCCCCGACCGTTGCTCCCGTTCCCTTGGCTCCCCCGGCTCCTCACGAGGATTCGCTAGCGACTGGCCTTGGGCGGGCTGCTGGTGTCTCACCCGTTCCTGCCTCTGGCGTGCCCGTTGCGCCGCGTGCTGCTGTCCCTGGCGCGCATGCTCCAGCCTCTGCCTTGTCCCCGAAGGCGGCATCCACCACCACTGGCGGCCCGTCCCCGTCGGTTGCGCCCTTGGCGCCCGCTGTGATGCCGGTTGCCCCGGCGGGTCAGTCGTCGCGCCCCCCCTCGCCTGACCGCCGCTCGTCTCGCCCACATTCTCTTGCGCTCCACCAGGGGCGGGCGTCGTCATGGCGTCGGCGTGATTCACTGGGGCGCTACCACCAGCAGCCTCACTGGCCTGCTCACTCCGGTGGCCATGGGGGCTGGAGGGGTCCCTGTGGGCGTGGTGGCGGTGGGGCATACCGCCCGCCCGTGATAATGGCGGATCTTCAGCGGGAGGTGTCGAGGGCCGTGCGCGAGGAGAGGGCGGCGCAGAGCCAGAGCAATTTACTGCGGGCCGCGCCGGCGCATGTGGCTCCTCGTCAGGCTGTGCTTCCCGTGAACCTTCCGTTGGCTTCTGCACTTCCTCCTCCTGTCCTTGCCCCATCGGCTCCTGCTCCTGCTGCCTCAGCTGCTGCTCCTGGTTCTCGTCTTCGCCTGCCGCCCGTTCCGTCGGTGGCGGGGGTGGAGTTCGTTGCCGCTGGTGGCGGAGCGGCGGGGGGGCAGCACACTCCTTATCTTGCTGCTGACGAGCCGCTTCCATTCTTGGCGGTGGCACTTCAGCCCCCGCAGACCCGTGTTCCTGAGGCGACGCTTGGCCAGCTACACCGTCTTGCGTAGAGCCTTCACGCGCTGCTGTTGATTCAGGTGCTGGCTCACTCGTCCCTCCCTGCGATCCCTGCTGACGCGTTTCATGACCGGCCGCGCGAGACTTGCCTGGACGCGGCGGACCAGCTCGCACAGCTGCTGGCGCCCGCGTTGGCTGCGCCCGCAGAGGGTGGCGCTGCGGCTGTGGGACAGCTTGACGAGGCTGTCCGGGGCTTGAGGCGACACTTGCACGTAGGATCTGGAGCCGCGGCGATCGGCGCAAGTACGCTGATGGTCCGTGAGCTGTGGCAGACTTTGACGGGCATTCTCCATGGCCTTGGAGCTCACCGGATGTAGATCCGGGATCCGCTTGCCCCGTTTGTCAAGTTACAAAACTAGAAGTTTTGACTAAGGAAAGTGAAAACAAGCAAGATATAGCAAGCATAACCCTAACCCTAGGAAAACATAAAGTACACCTCGACTAACACAAATAAGCTATAACAAATATACCTTGACACACCCCCATAGTCTTGGTGATGGTAGTCCTGTGGAAAGCAACACACAGCAAGGGTCACAGGACCAGTTTGCAAAAAAAAAAAAAAAAACAACAAATATCGGGGTGGATCTCAAGATCACCACACAGTCCGAGAACAAGCGAGGGGCCACAAGGCCAGTCCACATGCAAGGATATAGCAAATATAGAAGATGCAAGAGTACACGACAAGCATCTCTACAGAAGCACAGGGCCACAAGGCCAGTCTAGATGCATATATATATATAGCAAATATAAAGCAAAGCAAATCATCTCTAAACAAAGTACAAAGCAAAGCAAAGTACAAAGCAAAGCATCTCTAAACAAGTAAGTGAGGGCCTGTAGACACAAGGCCAAGCTGGGTGCAGAAACGCTGGTGGTCACAAGGCGGCAACGCCTTGGTGGAGATATCTGCAGTGTTGGCCTCAGAGACCACACGTACCACGCGTGCCTGGCCACGCTGCTGCAACTCACGCAGAAAGAAGTAACGAAGCTGGATGTGCTTCGCCTTCCCAACCAGTCGAGGCTCCTCACACAACAGGACAGCAGACCTGTTGTCGGCGAACAAGACTGGGGGAGAGCGAGGCCGCTCACCAAGGTCGGTGAGAAGGAAAGACAGCCAGCGAAGCTCCTGAGCGGCCATGGCCGCAGCGTACACCTCTGCCTCACAGCTGGAACCGGCGACAGACGACGCCCGAGTCGACCGCCACGAAACAGCACCTGCTCCGAGGCTAAAGGAGTACCCCTGTGTAGACCGGTGCGTCTCCGCGTCGTCGGCCCACGACGAGTCTGAGTAACCTGTGAGTGTAACTGGCTGCTTCCCTCCAAGGACAAGTCCCATGCCTGATGTACTCGCCACATACTTCGCCACCCTCTTAGCCGCGTACCAGTGGAAGGTCGGTGTCTCCCAGGCGCAACAAAATGCGCAAGGACGCTAAGAGGGTAAGCTAGGTCTGGGCGAGTGCAGGTCATCAGGTACATGAGACAACCCACCAGCTCAGGATATGGACCGCTGGACTCAAATGGCTCGTCCGAAGGTGGAGCCGTGAGCCCATGATCCACACCAAGAGGGGTGAGCTGTACCTTGGAGAACGGGAAGCGAAACCGCATGAGGATCTGCTCGACCATATGCGACTGAGACAGCGTAATGGTGCGAGCTGCCCTGTCCCTGCTGATCAGCAGGCCAAGGTAGTGCTGCAGCTCACCAAGGTCAGTGCAAGTGTGTCTCCTCTGCAGTTCCTCCTTCACGGAGGCCAGCGCGCGTCGGTCGGGAGTGGCGAACACCAGGTCGTCGACGTAGACCAGGACAAAGAACGGGGTCGAGCTACGGCGAACGAACAGTGACGGGTCAGCAGACGACGGAAAGAAGTCAAGAGCTGCAAGGGTCGAGCGAAGTGTGTCGTGCCACTCACGTAGAGCCTGACGCAGGCCGTAGACTGGTCGACGCAGCTGCCACTGGGTCCCAGGTGGGAAAGAGCCAGTGAAGCCCGGCGGGCGACGCAGCCAGATCTGCTCGTGCAGGCTCCCCTGAAGGAACGGGTGGCGCGCGGGGTACGGGGCACTACGAGACACGGATTGACGGGGCGCTACGGGCTAAGGCGCTTCGGGCTAGGGCGCTTGGGGCTAGGGCACGTTACGGGGCGGTGGGCCCATGGGATCTTTTTATCGCTCTATACCATGTCAAGTTACAAAACTAGAAGTGTTGACTAAGGAAAGTGAAAACAAGCAAGATATAGCAAGCATAACCCTAACCCTAGGAAAACATTAAGTACACCTCGACTAACACAAATGAGCTATAAACAAATATAGCTTGACACCGTTGTGGCCATTGCTGCTTAGGATGGTGTTGATGCTGCCATTGCTTGTATGCCGTTGCCTATAGTTACTCGGGTGTGTGTTCCCTTGCCGTCCCCTCACGCGCGGCCGAAGGCCGCGCTGTCGAGCGTCGGCCGCCTTCGGCGGCCGGCGCGAGGCGCTCGCTTAGGAGAATAAAAAACCGAACAATGAGGAGAGTGAGTAGCAGACCTCTATACTAGGCTGGAGAGGGCTGGGGAGGCTAAGGACTAGCTACTAGGGCCTCTCTCTCAAGCAGTCCTTCATTGATGGGTTTTTAAGGATACAACCATGGTAAGGGCAGGTGCTAGATGGTTCTAGGCATGCAAGGGGGTCTACTACCGGCCTCTCTCTCTCTCTCTCTCGCTCTCTCCCGCCCACTTAGGAGAATCAAAAACCGAACAATGAGTTGGGGTTTTTGGTGAGTTGGGTTCACTCAAAAACCAAGAACTGAATAATGAGACTCCAGGACTAGATCCTATGGCCTTAATGGCTGGAGAGGGCTGAAGAGGCTAAGGACGTGGCCTTTCTCTCTCTCTGTCTCTGTCTCTTTCTCTCTCTCTCTCTCTCTGTCTCTCTCTCTCTCTCTCTCTCTTTCTCTCTCTCTCTCTCTCTCTCTCTCTCTCTCTCTCTCTCTCTCTCTCTCTCTCTCTCTCTCTCTCTCCCTCTCTCTCTCGCGCGGCCGGTTTCTGGTGAACCCAACTCACCAGTGAATAATGAGCTCAAAGGATTAGATCCAGGTGCTTTATTCTACGAAACTAGGCTAGAAACGGCTAAGGACTGGATCCTTGGCTAGAGAGGCCTAAAAACGGCGAAGGACTGGGACTAGGCTATCTTTCTCTCATACGCCCAGTCCCCACCATATCCGCGACCTCCCCACCAGCCACCCCGGCCACCGCGGGACGCAGCCCAATTCGCCTGAGAACCTCGGCGCCGAGGAGAGTCATGGCGTCGCCTCGACCGCTCCCGCTCGTCACGAGGCGCAGGGGAGTGAGGCCGGTGCTGCTGGCTGCCTGGAGACGGTGGGCGCTGAGCTGGCAGAGCAGCAACAAGCGGTGCGGGAGCAGGAACCGCCTGGACAGACGAGGGCGGCACTGATGTCGCCGTAGTCGGAGGGGCGGGAGCGACCGAGTCAGCTACTGGGCCTAGGGCGTCAGTGGTGTCGGAAACCACCGGCGGCGGCGCCTCGGCATCAGCAACAAGCACCTACTCGACGCCAACAGGCGGAGCGACAAGGACGGCAGGCGGCGGACCAGCGACAGTCGCAGCAAGGGCAAGCGTTGGCAGGACAGCGGGAAGAATCAGGGGATCTGCAGCTGCAGCCGGAGCAGCAAAAGACGAGGATTGAACGTCCTCGCGAGACATCACAGACACCACAACAGGAACCGCGGGTGCGGGGGAGTGAGGCATTCTAGAGGTTACTGTCATGGGCTTCGGAGCCAGCGGCACAGGGGGCTTCGTCGGCATGGTCGCCTTTCCGGGCTCCGACTGAGGCTTGGCAAACACAGCCGATGCGGCGACAGCACGCACTGGCGATATTTCAGGCCCTCCGGGAATCACCATCTCGCGGACGTGGAGGTCACAGAGCGAGGAGACAAGCTGCTAGCGGAGCAGGCAAAGGTCCGGAGAACGGGTATCAGGCAGCGGGGCGCAAGGCTTTAACCAACTTAGAAGAAACTAATGAAGTCGAAGAACGAACGGACCCCTCTTATAGGGAGAAACCACTCCCCGTCAGCGAGAGTGGAGACTCAGGCGAAGAAGAAGAGACGAGGGAGCCAGCTGAGAGAGGGGAAGCAGGCACAAGGAGGTTAGCCTCACAAGGAACTGAAGTAGCCGGAGGACCGTCCGATGCTGATCGAATGGGCGTAATTCCAACACTCTCTTTGGCCGTCACATCGAACCGCGCTCGGCGAAATCGAACCGCCAATACCAAGACCATGGCGTGCCCAGTCCATGAAAAACCCCGCTATTTTTCGCCAGAGGAGCTGGCAAAGCAGGCAGACAAGTTCGCTGGTGCCGCGAACTGGGACATTTCTGCGTTAAGTGACAGTTGACAACCATCTCTGTCACGGCGTTTACCGCCAAACCTGTGAAAGCTATTTTCGCTGGCACTACTGACCCCGCTACTCCATCTTTCGCGAAACCCCGAGTCCGAAGCGGGATGGCGCCTGCTGCTTTTTCTCCCGCGCCTGACACTCCGCCAATCCTCACCACAACGACCGAATTGGCCATAGGTCAAGGCTCGGCTCAGAGCGTTCCAGCGTGGCGAATGGGAACAGCTGTACCAAGCCGCGGTCGAAGCGATCAACACCCCTCCACCGCCCCGACACCAGACGGATGCGACTGGAGTCATCAGTTGAGCTGAGGGCCTGGCAAAATGTGGCAGCCTGTGCCAAGCCATGCTGGCACTGGAGTCAACACCCGTCTGGCACTGTAGTTCATGCCCTATTCCACCCACAGGTGGGTTTTTAGCCGCCGCCGCTTCACCCATCTTGATCAGCAATCCCACGGATTGCGCCCTCTGCAAGGCAACCGACCACCTTTGCCTGAACTGATGCAAAAACTTTGCGGCATGATAGGAGTTAGAGTCGGCGTTGAAGTGGCGCCGAGCCGCCGTGTCTGCTAGAAGTTTCAGAAAAATTGGGACCTCGGCGCATAGGCAAACCAT